GGGCTTGGAAATTTATTTAGTTCTGGAATTCTAATCCCGTCATTCCCATTATCCTTAATCTCGATTCTAAAAAAGCCTATGCATTTTAATTAAATAAGGACTCATTAAAACCAACATTTTGTACAAAAGTTAGAATTTCTGTTTTACTCCTGTTTCGAAATATCTTGTTGCAACAACTTTAATTTCTAGCGCGAGCGGAAAAGCTTCTTAGTTTTCATGAGGCAATAGAACCCTAAAAACTGTAACTGTGGCCTATACGTTTCTATGGACGAGTCTGTTGTTTCTGCTGAGTGGCGACTTATGTGTCATGAAGTAGCGTCATTCGAATCTAACTCACTGTCACATTTGCTTTATTGACTTGGTTAACTCAACTGCCTCACCATTTAACATGTAACTTGCCAAGCCATTTTTTGTAATCCTTGGCAGTTATTATTGGAAACGTTATTGGCAGGAAACGTTATTGGCAGGAAACGTTATTGCCTCAGAACCAGCGACTCCATCAAAATTCTCATCCAGTTTTGTAGGATAGAATGTAGGTATATTGTAATGTGTAAAGGAATATCGAGACAGTCCATGTAGTGTAATGATTGTAACTAGCTTGCTACCCAGAATGTCACATGCTAGAGTGTATAGTGTAATGTAGAATCGAGCAATGAGGCAGCTCATGAATTATAAAGATTAATGCTGACACTACCTATACTGACACCGTACAATTTAGAATGATCATGCCGAGGTGCAAGTTCAGCTGAACACGCTCAGATTGTGATCATTTGCGATCTAAATTCATCATTCACATCATCTGTCTTGACGTCGTTGCCAATATAGAACATCTGTTTAAGAGCTTTGCCACTTCACCTGAACCAACGCTAAGCACCGAGGATGCATGGTCTTCTCATCAGATATACCGCCACGTATGACGAAAAAATTTTGTTCTAACGCACATTGAGGTTCTTTTAGCATATAATTTTCCATGAAAAAAATTAGAAACTTAAACATAATTTTGTCATCGCCGCTTATATTTCTACTTCATTTTATATATTTTTTATTTTTCAACCAGAAAGTTTAAATTTTCTTAACATACAGTTAAACCTAAATGTCAACATTTGATAGTGGAGCTATAGATGCTGCACTAGCTATGGTGACAGATGATTTCTGACAGACAGCTGTGAGCACACGATCGACAAATAAAACCAACTGTTTCAATAATATCATGAAGCTATAAAGGCAGACCATGTGTCGTATCAAGTCACAGGACATCTAGCAGCCTTCCGTTCACGCCGCATTTTGCCTTCGCCTTTTGCCGCGCCTTTACGTCTACCAACATGATGAAATCTGTCGGTCTTGTCCTTCTTCTGATTGCAACCTTTGCCTACTCCAGTGTTGAAGGGTAAGTGAACTCAGCAATTGCATTCTTGCGCTGTGCTCTCCACTCCTGTTCACCTGTATCCTAAATTATTAGATGATATTGCTTTGTCCTCTAATTTTAAACAACCATTACAAATTAATGCTGAAAAGGTTGCTTTAGAGCTATGGATATTACTTGTTTTCCTGACTCGAGTGGGAAATGTTTATCTTTCGATGTTTCTCGTCTAGTGTACTTATTCGTATTCATTTCTCTGCCGCAGAAAACCCAGAAAATGTGGATCATCAGTGGAAAACGCCATATTTGAGAATCAAGACCTCAAAGATGCCTTGAGCGCCTGCAAGTCGGATCCAAAGGGAAGTGCAGCCTTGGCCGCCCTTGCCCTCACAGGTGGGATATCGTAAGATTAGTTACCGTCAATTGGTTTATCTGAAATTTACTACCATAGCGCTAATCTATGGGCATTTCTCCCAATTGATATTTTTTTTTGTTTCCAAAACTCAGTTCAAGACCTTGTATTTTTAATTATTTGTGTTATCTAGAGACGTATCTTGAAATAGTGAGTGGAGCTATCACAAATTCATGAGAGATCTAAAAAATTAAACGCCATTTACGTGTTCTGCCGACCAAGCTACCTGCAGGGGTTACAACTTCAAGGTGGCCCGTGGCGACAAGTGCGATGAAGTTGTAGCTCCCTACATGAAATGTGTAGCTGGGAAACTTGGTTACGTAAGTCAGGAAATATTGCTTAGATACATTTCCATCATCTGTCATAAACTCCCTTTTGGATATTAGCTGACACTATTTGAGGTGTTGAACGTGACGGCTCATAATGTGACCAACGCTGTATATATAATGCACCATCAGAGATATCTATTTCAAACAATTTCATAAGTTATTAAATTATATTATGAAGTTACAACCCTTGCAAATATGAATATAGCACTCATTCATTTATTTGTAGTTGAAAGCTGATGGCTCCATCGACGGCGCAAAAATCCTAGCACAGTACAGGAGTTACGCCGTCGCTCGCGGTAGTATCTGCAGAAATGAGTACGACTTCGGTGCGCGGCACTGTGGCACTAGCATCAGCAACTACGCGGTAAATTTTTATTGCCTTTGAGAGACGCACGCATATAGTTATTTCATAGCAGGACAACGAGTTAAGATTATTTCGACCTGAATTTGTGTCAAATGTAAACTTGAACGCCGAGTGATAATTTGATTTACGAGCATGTGGAAACTTATGCAAATCATTCATATTTCTTGTGAAAATACGTGTCGAAATTCCATTTTCTGATGACAATGCGATATATGATTATCTGTGAATCTGTGTCACATATCATTCTAACTCTCTCAAATTTCTTTGAATATTGTTGCGTAAAGTTATCGCTGAAATTCTAAGCATTCATTCACTTCTATCCACTACAACTGAAGCAGAACTTCTTGCCACGAACTTTTTTGTTGTTGATAAAATGAACTATCCCGAACAGTTCCTGGGGAGGGCCGAATGCCTCATCACGGCGATGTACCAGTACCCTGGTTGATTTGCGCAATCTGGTCCTCATTCCTTCATCTGACTGGCGGCTTTGAAGTGTTCACAACAGGTGCACAATAATAATTAGGGGACCACTTTATCCAGTCGATGCATCCACGTGCTGTAAAAATTGTCTAATCCGAAGTTCATTGTAATTTGTGAAATAATAAATTCAATAAATCCTACTTAGAATCATATTAACAATTATTATTCAAAAGTGAAATTGAAACACTTTTGAAGAAGTGAAGCATTTTGCTGTGTACCAATATATTTTGTGTCAAGAAATTTTTATTTGATGCACTTGAATTTATTATAATTCGAGAGGTTCAATGTCATGTGGCTTGAATGTAAGTTCAAATAAAAAGGCGTGTAACCAATCATTATAAAACTTAAATATAATCAAAAATCATAATGTTCCATAGTGTTCTTTGCACTTCAAAATTGGTGACTTGTTGTTGATTATCAAACCTCTGTACTTGTTTTTTCTTCTCTTGATAGGTTGACAAAGTTTCTGAACACTTCAAAATTGGAACTTGGAACTTTCACACAGCTTGGACGAAATAATTTACAATATATTATGAGCATTACTGTTGTTTTGATTGGCCCTTTTGTTGCGGATAAAATGTTGGATTGTCCGTTGCCCAGATCTTCATATGTTGAACGCGCATTCAAATCATAAGGTAATTAAAAATTCATTAAGTAAATACACACAAGAAAAGTAAACCCAAAAGATCCGAGAAACCAATGGCAATAGCTATATTTAAGTGGCAGCGATGCAATGCATTTAGTTTCGAAAGACACATCACTGTCTGTAACTTGAAGTAAATTTCACGAACATGCATTTAGGGACAGAGAAATGTTAGAGAGACGACGTAAAGACATAAGGATGAAATGAAAACTGGAATGATGGGAAAGAGAGTGGTTGAACAGAAGCCATATTTGTACATCGAATACCATTTGTTTCTGCAAGAAAACGTGAAACACACAGCAATCATTTTAAATTAGAGCGATTTTTAAATCGATAAATGGAATAATGTTGATCAAGATGATCATTACTGGGATATGATCAAATGATATTAATATCAATGCAATCATCCTAAGCATAACTAACTTGCTGAAAATTATTTTCAACAAGTTTGTATTGAGACATGAATATTTCTGCGATTTGATAGAAATCGAGAGTCATCGCTACATCTCTGGCGGAATAAATAATTCCCAACATTCTTGAATAGCTTACCAATGTTTGTTACATTGCTTTGAATCAATCCCCTTTATGTTTGAAGCGATCGATAACTTTAAGGATCATTTATCCCACACTCATGGACAAAAAAATTATTCCGGCTCCGAAATATGATTATTGGAAAATACGTAAATCTCGCAGATTTTTAGCCCCTGACCCTTCTGATCCCAAATCATGTCTATCCATCTCCTACCTGTCGATTTCGTCGAAACTACTGGAACGAATTGTGGCCCCTGAGCTGAACAACCATCTTCTACAGGCCAGTCCAATGCCTCTAGACTGCATATCGTCATCTCCACTCAACGGAAACCGCTGTGCTGAAGGTGCTTTCAGCCTTTCTGCAAGCAGTAGACCGCGGTGACATTGCGGCACTGGCTTTACTCGCCCTGTCGGTCGCGTTTGACATAGTATACCACGCCACTTTACTGCGTCGACTTGACGTATCATTCGGCCTGCGCGGCTCTGTGTTGCGGCTGTCTCTTATACACATCTAGATGTGTATAAGAGACAGATATTGTAATGTGTAAAGGAATATCGAGACAGTCCATGTAGTGTAATGATTGTAACTAGCTTGCTACCCAGAATGTCACATGCTAGAGTGTATAGTGTAATGTAGAATCGAGCAATGAGGCAGCTCATGAATTATAAAGATTAATGCTGACACTACCTATACTGACACCGTACAATTTAGAATGATCATGCCGAGGTGCAAGTTCAGCTGAACACGCTCAGATTGTGATCATTTGCGATCTAAATTCATCATTCACATCATCTGTCTTGACGTCGTTGCCAATATAGAACATCTGTTTAAGAGCTNACATCGCGTACATATATTATAAAAAAATTCATTCACGCCACCGGTTTTATGAGAGCCAGCAATGATGAAAACGACATTTACAAGCTGACGCCATGGTTGCGGCAGATTATTGGCATGCGTTACAACGATTATTTCAAGTTCTTCTTTCATTAGTCGGCTTAAATCGTAAGTTGACCAAGAATTTAACGCAAAGAAAACGTCATGTGAATTCTTCATAAATTTACTGATAACGTTTAGGAGACCAACTCCATCATCAGTTTAAAACTGCGAGAATATAAGTTTTCGTTGTTGCCTTGTCGGTTTTTCGTTACTTAGGTTTTAATCTGCTATACGTGTTAATTTTGATTTTAAATGGTGATTGTACTTGCATTATTAAATTTGGAGTTGATGAGGAAGCTGATCTTCGTTAATTTCTTGTGGTTTTATTTCTATCATAAAATATTAGGGCCAGTCAAAGGCATAAATTTATGGCTGAATACAATAGAAACTGAGTCCTGAATAATGAAATTTGAGTATGTTAATGCTACTTTATATATATTATTCTTACAATATGTATGCGCTTCCAGCTTTTACGATGATAAGAGATTCAAAAAATGCAAATTTAAATACCAATCAACATTCAAACCATAAATATATTTATGCATTCACTGTACCGTGTAACTTAAAAATTACATTCAGCCGCGCCTAAAGTTAGTAATAAATAAAAATTATGTTAAGTCGGGTCTAAAGTTAATAATTTAAAACTGCAATTTCTATGATCGCTAAATATTTCTATGGACCGCTAATGGTTATCAACTTGATTTATGATGACGGTTGATCAACGGTGCTAGTCATTCTTAATATGATTTTAGCTATTGACATGCTGTGTGATGAACCTTGAGTATATGTTGGGATAATGACATGAGGCGTCATTACCTTTAATTGTTTGTCACGTGTACCAACGAAATAAAAATCTTGGTACCTGTACACGATTGTTTTGCTATCAAATAGTTTGCTAGTTTTGCAGATAATAAATTTTGTTGTGCATATTTTAGCAGCCATGAGTCACATGTCGCAGCTGATGCTCTATGGCCAAAGTAATCAATCAAAGCTCAATGATTACAGATCAGAACAACTGCTCATACAGATGATATTTGCTTCGACATTGAACCTCTTCTCGAGAGCTATGAATTCATTGCAATAGACTTACCATGAATAATTCTTGCCTTTATTTCCAGATATGAATGAGTATTTCCTCTATTTATGGCGTTTTTGTCTTGTGCATATTATCCTTTGTGTCTTGCCGACGAGCCAAACAAAAATTAGAATTTTTTTATTAAAATTCTGCAGGTTGAACTTCTACGGCGATCCATGGACTGCGTAGAGCATGCAATAAAATTACCAATATTTGTAAAAGGTTGTGTTTTATATCAGGCTGATTCAATTACAAGCCATTGTCTTTAAATGCAATTTCCATTATAGTGGAATACCCGCCGAGGTAAATACGAGTAATAGCGGAGTCAAGAGCTGGTTGTGGTCAGAGCCGCCACGCTAGCGCAATATATCGTCCAATTATATTGTTCATCGTTGTCAATAAAAATATCACCTCTCACCGATTTCATAGATACTACACTCACACAGTGAACATTTACATACTCGTCGGTGTTTACAGACGCTTTCATCAGATTAGCTTGTCCGCAACAAATTAGGAGTGAACAAACCCATTTAAATAGAAAACAAAATAAACTTCAAATACCCAAGGGTGACACGGGAAAATATGCCGACTGTAGCCTTGGAATTCAAGCGTACGACTTTTGCACTGAAAGTCTACATCTGTGCCGAGTTGACCACAACAGAACGTAATTTGAAGATGAATTGCTAAATTATTTAAGGTATGAATTTCATTGAAAGTTAGGGCGCAGGTATCGAGAATGTTAGGAAAGTGGGTTTAACCGATGTAGAATGTGTCAGACGCATTTGCTTCGAGATCCGAGTTTATTTAAATCTAACGCAGGCGTCAGGCGAGCTTATCGTGAGGGGAATTCCATGAGTCGTGCAATTCGACGTCTACTTCGAGGGATAGAGACAAGTGTGCACGTTGGTTACGTATAACGAGCTGTAGTTCGCGCCTAAGATAGGATCTTGAGAGCTACCCGTAACTGTGTACAGACTGCGAACTTCCTGACGGCCGCGGCCACCATGCAGCCGGCGGCTTCGCCTGTTTTCGAACATTGATGGTTTGAGAAACTTAAACTTGTCCATACTGTTACGATTCATCTTAGAGCATTTAAAATCTACAAGTGACGTCGAGAATACGGTCGGACACAGCAGCAGACGTACGGCCACAACTTGGCAGCAACTTCTGTACAGGGAAAGCCATCGCAGCCATTGCGGATTGCGGCAGTTAACGATTCTATAGACATTTTTCGATAGGCGAGACTACAGATCATTACGATCTTCATTACGGCCAAAGACTTTCGTAATCGATTTATTCGTGGCATACCGACCGTTCACTGTGATCGCCACGTTTACGCCAATGTTGGCCTCCAACCACTGATTTATTACCACGTGTCGCAACTTCTGTACCATCATTTCCACATTGTCCCATGGGCCCAATATGGGCCATTTGTAGAATAGTGATAGGGTCCCTACGGGATAGCACTATATGGATCAACATCACCCGGTAAAGTAAGAAAGTGCGAATAGATTTTGGAGACTTGTGGAAGCGATGTTTTTGGAGACTTTTAGCAATGTAGAAGCGATGGATTAAATTATCCGCTTTTGAGTTCAGAGTGATGTTTCCATAGGGAGAAACGTTGGGTTTTGAATTTATATACATATACTATGCAACAGTGATCTTGTTCACATTATAAGCCTTAATTTTATCTAATTTTATTTAAATGTAAAAGTGTTGTATTTTGATCCTCGTGTAATCTAATTGTCGTGATCAATTCTTTGACAGTCATTAGCAAAAACGCACCTCAATTATTATATACGCCTCAAGCCCGATTCACTACCGATAATAACGAATTTTCAATGCAGTGAGAGTGATTTATACTGACGGTTATTGAGGGAATCGCTATAACATAACATAGTGATGTCGGCGCTAAAGAGTAGGCCTGGTGTGACATGTCGCCGGATCTTGAACTTTTCGTGACTTGTTCATAGAAGATCTAAATCTTGTCATTTGAACGGATATTTTAAGTGAGCCAAGTGAATAAACAGTGCAGAGAATCAATATAAGCTATTTAATTCAAAAGGGGCACACGCAAACCAAAATGTGAGAGATATCTAACTTGCAAGTCATCATTGCAAGTTTTCATTAGCTAGAATTCTCTCGGGATCCCATTCTTCAATTCAATGAGATATTTAGAGACAATTTAGTTCTCGCCGTGGAAATGGGAAGTGTTTAGCTTGGTCTGTAAGTTTAAATTTGAAGTCAAAGTATGCATTTAAATATACTGAATTAATGAGAAC